ACGACCACTCAGCCATCATAACCCTTTATACTACGACCACCTCGCTATAAGGAACCAAGATGAACACCTTTGCCCAAGTGATCGCTAGTGATCGTTTTTTCCTTTATGGGAGAATTAATATCCGCCAGGCGAAGAATGAACGCCAGGCGATGGATAGACAGGGTGCGTGAGGAAGGATAAGGAAAAATCGAGGAAGAATAAGGAGGAGGAAGACTCAGAAGGAGGAAGAAGAAGGAGGAGGAGGAGAGGTGTGAGGGTAAAATACTAGAGAAGTGCACTGACGATATTACGGTTGACGGTGAAGGACTTGGTGAAGGAAGGAGGGTGAGGGAAGGAGGGTGAGGGAAGGAGGGTGAGGGAAGGAGGTGAGGGGAAGGAAGGAGGGTGAGGGAAGGAGGGTGAGGGAAGGGAAGGAGGGTGAGGGAAGGAGGGTGAGGGAAGGAGGGTGAAGGAAGGAGGGTGAGGGAAGGAGGGTGAGGGAAGGAGGGTGAAGGAAGGAGGTGAGGGAAGGAGAATGAATAAAGAAGATGAAGTAGGTGGGAGGAGAAACGGGAGGTAAAGGTCAGAGGAGCAAAAACCGCATTGAGTATGAGAGAGAGAGAGAGAGAGAGGAGAGAGGAGAGAGAGGGAGGAGAAGAAAGAGAGCGATATAAACTGAGAATGACAGACAGACAGACAGAAAACAGACCAGTTAAGAGACAGAAATGAGGTAACATATAAAACCATCCCATTTAAATCATGACACAAAGTTTAACACGTATCTCAAACACACAAACGGAACTTACTAGTGAACAAACAACTGATGGACAGCACCCCGTCTATGTATCCAAGCCGGGGTCGACACACTGACAAACACGACTAGTTGGATACCTTCACTGATCTATTGTGTAAACATTGATGATAACACGTAGTTAGGTTAGGTTAGGGTAGGTTAGGGTAGAAGAATTATAGAGAGAGAGTTGAGATAGATGAGAGCGATTACTGAGAATGGTTGGCATTCTGACAGACAAGAGACGGCTGTTGACAGGAGACAGCAGACGACAAATAGAAGAGACGGCAGGCAGCAGAGTAGGGACAGCAGAGACGGCAAGAGGAGACGGCAGACAGAGACGGCAAGGACAGAGACAGGTGCGGAGCAGAGGCGACAGATAGCAAAGACAAGAGACAATACGATACAAACATAAAACAACTCTATCGGTGAAGTTATGTCGATAAGAAATACAAAATTTCTGACAGTTCGCTCTAACAAGAACAAAATATAAGACAAACAGCTTCACCAACATTGCATAGACAACAAAACACAAAAACAAATTCTAACCAAAAACCTTCCTTTAAGAGTTCACGCATGAGCAGTCTCTATAAACCTCAGCTCCATCCCTGACAAATCAAAACAGAACCCCAATACCTTCCTGAAGCAGAACTGCCCCCCGTCTTACAGGAATTCACGCATGCGCAATAATAACTAAACTTTAGATCTTTCACCTGATGTAACTATAGGTCAGAAATTCTCCCAAGATATGTAATACAATACGAACTCACCTGTGGGTAATGACTCAGGTAATGTCTCGGGGTTATATGCCTAAGTGACCTCAAGTCTTATGAACTACTAAGTTACTTTTTCATCTAACTTGTGGGATGAGCACTCAGCCCCTCACCACTCCACCCCTCACCACTCACCACCAGCCCCTCACCACCACCCCCCTCACCACAGCCTCACCACCACCCCTCACCACTCAGCCTCACCACCAGCCTCACCCCCCCTCACCACCTCACCCCCCACCACCAGCCCCTCACCACTCAGCCCCCTCACCACCACCCCTCACCACTCAGCCCTCACCACTCAGCCTCACCACTCAGCCCCTCACCACTCAGCCCCCACCACCAGCCCCTCACCACTAGCCTCCTCACCACTCACCCCCCACCACCAGCCCCTCACCACCAGCCTCCCTCACCCCCCTCACCACCAGCCCCCACCACCAGCCTCTCCTCACCCCCCTCACCCTCAGCCCCTCACCCACTCACCCGTCCTCACACCACCCCCTCACATCCACCCCTCACCACTCAGCCCCCACCCACCAGCCCCTCACCACCAGCCCCCTCACCGCTCACCCTCCTCACCACCAGCCCCTCACCATCAGCCCCTCACCATCAGCCCCTCCCACCAGCCCCTCACCACTCACACCCTCACCACTCAGCCCCTCACCCTCAGCCCCTCACCATCTGCCCCTCACCACTCAGCCCCTCACCCTCACCCCTCACCCTCACCCTCTCACCACTCACCCCCTACCCTCAGACCCTCACCACTCAGCCTTTGTTTTTTTTTTCACCCTCAGCCCCTCACCCTCAGCCCCTCACCACTCACCCCCTCACCACTCCAGCCCCTCACCACTCAGCCCCTCACCACTCACCCCTCACCCTCAGCCCCCCTCACCACTCAGCCCTCACCCTCAGCCCCTCACCCAGCCCCTACCACTCACCCCCCTCACCCTAGCCCCTCACCACTCACCCC